CACAGAGTCAGTGAGCTCATTTTTAATGGTATGTGGAATATTTTATTTCTGAAAAAGTAATTTATTTTCTTAGCAAAAATATGAAGATAAGGTCCTAGAAATACCTGCACAAAGCTACCTTCTCACTTCTGCCCTTTTCCATTTTCCTACTGGCTTCTCTCCTGGCAGTCAGCAAAAATATCACAGTATTTATACAGCCAGCAGCACTATAGGCAATGCAAAATGAATTGCAATAGAGGAACAGAGAAAAACCTTAAAAAGGAACTATAGATGACCATTGGGAAAAAAATTAAAGCAGACAACAATTTTAGAAAAGAGCACATTATTAAATAAATAATACTATTCTGTAAGACAAAAAAGGACAAGACTTTTTGGAGAATTGAAAAAAATTATTCGCTCAACAATAATTTGTGTCTTGAAGAAATAATTAATCATTAATAGAGAGTTGGAAAATAAAGATGGAAGAAATTTAGGAGGTCATCTTGCTCAGTTTCTTTATTCCCTAGTATTTTGAACTGTCTGAGCTCTTTCAGCACAAGAATTGCCTTTGAGATGTACTTCTAAGATTTTCTCTGCCAGAGATATTCATGTAACACATCTGAACAGAATTAAAGAGATATGCAAAACTAAGCTGAAGATTTCATCCCTGGTGAGATTTAATTTAGAGTTGCATGTGCTCTATCAAGCAGGTCAGAATAAATATAACAATTAAGCCAAACAATATTTAGTCCAGTTTTACACCCCAACTGTAATATTATTGCTCTAATTACTGTCAATTTGTATCATCCTACATGGATTGCTAAAGAGTGACCTTCAGTTTGTCATTTTTTGCAGAAAGAGCTTGATTGCAAAGGTAAGAAGATGTGTTTCTCACTACACAGCTCCCATTTTCCCATATTTCTTTGAGATGACAGCAGGTAACTCAATCTGCAAAAATGAATAGGAATACAATTCATACAAATGTCAACCAGGTATTGCTTCAGCACATTTCTGCAGCATCAGTGTTAAAAGCCATTCATTGTAAATGTTCTGCAACTCACTGGACTGTGAAACTACTTGGAAAGCAAGTCTTGAAATTTTGCTTATGAAACATTTACACTGATAAATTTAATTTAGTATGTCTTTCAGGTAACAAGAAATGTACATTAAAGTTTTGAAACAATGGCGATTGCAGCAGAAATGACAAAATCAACAACATAAATCTTATTGATAGTTTCCTATCCATCCTAGTTTTCTGCTCATTTTAGGTCTATTTTTCCATTTTGTGGAGATTGATATTTAGAAAATAACTTCAAGTTTTAATTCCATAAAATATATAGACAGCACAAACTTTTCTCAGGGATGCAGTTATTCTGTCAGGGAAGATATCAGTGGTTGGTTTAAAGTGTTTCAACGCTGCCCATATTTATTCTTGCAGCAGAGAAGAAAATGCAGTAACATAAATACTTGCATAAACATAAATTAGTGGAGACATGATTTTTTTTAAAAAAGCAATCTTTAGAGGCAGGTAGTCTTTTGCTTTACCTGTTATTTTCCACTCTTTAATCAAAGAATGCATTCCAGAAATCTATATTAGATTCTGATCCTGCAAGTACGTGCAATATGTTTAAGGTCAAGCATCTTGTTGCACTGATTAGTCAATTTAGTTCTGTGCAGAATGAAATTGCACGATGGGAATCCTTCCCAGAGCTCATCTTGCTGTTCTCTCAGGCTTTGATACAGAGATGAGACACAACCAAGTGCAATACAGCTCTAAGTCAGCATGTTCCCCCTAGAGGTCAAGAAAGAAAAGAATTTTTGTTCTTATAAGTAAAAGCAAAATTACTCTAAAAGTACTCTTAAATCATACTACTATTTTAGACCTCCCAAAGACCAACTGCAGAAGATGAGAAAAGAAGCTTTTGGGTTTCCCCTTTATCTTGGCGTTCTAAATTAATCACTATCCCAAAAACCATGGAGAAAATTGATGAGAACCTAAAATGTTCTCTTATAGACTGGAAGTGCTCTTAAAAGTTGCATTCTGTAGTTTAAAGAAACTGGACCAGACTGATCAGATAAAAAAGACATCTATACTAACACCCTGATTCCCGAGGCACCAGAAGGCAATGAGCTGGAGCAACATTTTTGACTCTGTGACATCCAAGTACCATTCTAAAAATGCATGACCTTTAATTAAGAGAAGGCAAATGTGTTTAAACTTACTACATAATGATCCAGAAGTTCTCAGTCTGAAAATCAAAAAATTGAAAATCACTACTCTGAAAATGTCCAGGCAGAAATATATCAAACATATATTCCAAGTTTGACAGAAACACTGTCTCTGTGAATCACTACGTGAAAAACAGTTAATGTTTTGACTTAGACCTCACTCCAAAAGTCAATCCAGTGTCCAGATATGAAAACTTCTTTCTCCTAACTTGCCCAACTTACATAGGTACAAATATATTTGTCACTGCCTAATTCCCTGCCTGCTTAAATCTACCACAGTTTCCTCTTGAGCCTCCTTGGTTCAGACTTTCAAAGGATTATTCTAAGAGGTAATAAAAGAAGATGTCATAAAAAAGATGTCATACTCTCTATCCTTATTTGTTCCCTAGATGATGACCATTACATTATGGCATTGAGAAAACTGTGCAACACCAGAATGCCTTGATCCATAGGCAGAGCTAAAAACTCACTTGAACAATCTTTGCTCGGCATTACTGCTAAGGTATAGAATGCATCATGAGCGTTCATGCTATTACTTGTGCAGAATATTAAGAAATATTTTACTGGGTTTGGTTTCCCTAGGATGGAAAAGCAGCTGATCTTGGGGCTATGTTTTGGATTTGTGGTAACAGTGTTGACATCACGCCAGTGCTTTGGCTGTGGCTGTGTGGTGCTTATACAGTGCTGAGGTTTTTCTGCTTCTCATGCTGCCCTGACAGCAAGTAGGCTGGTGGTGGGCACAATTCTGAGAGAGGACACAGACAGTTCCACTGAGCCTGAGTGGCCAAAGGGATATCCCACACCATACGGGATGCTGTGTGTTTGTCTTCCCAAGTCACTGCTACACATGATGGAGCCCTGTGCTCCTGGGGATGGATGAACATCTGAGGGCCCATGGGAAGTGGGAAATGAATTCCTTGCTTTGCTTTGCTTTTGGGCATAACTTTAGCTTTACCTCTTATTCTGCCCTTATCTGAATTCACACTTTTATCTCATCTTGAATACTGTGTGTAGTTTTGGTCAACACAATATAAGAAGGACATTAAGTTACTAGAGAGTGTCCAAAGGAGGGAATAAAGATGGCCTTGAGGGGAGGCTGAATGAAGAGCAGCTGAGGGTCACTTGGTCTGTTCAGCCTGGAGAAGACAAGACTCAGGGGAGACCTCATTGCATTCTGCAGCTTCTGTGTGAGGGGAAAAGGAGGGACAGACACTGACCTTCTCTGGGATGACCAGTGACAGGACCCAGGAAAATGGCCTGAAGTTGTCTCAGAGGAGGTTTAGATTGGGTATTATGGGGTGGGTTGGGTGCTGGAACAGCTCCCCAGGGAAGTGGTGACAGCACCAAGCCCGGCAGAGTAAGAGAGGAATTTGGACAATGCTCTCAGGCACCTGGTGTGACTCTTGGGGTGGTCCTGTGCAGAACCAGAAGCTGGACTCAATGATCCTTGTGGTCCCTTCCAACTCAGCTTATACTGTGGGGGGAGCATATGAGCTCCTGGACGGGACTTGGCTGCCTGCTGGCATCAAACCATGACAAATATTCATGCTGCAGTGATGCTTGAGCTTTTTCTTCCTCATCCTGGTAAAGATCCATACACTCACAGATATTCCAGCTCCTGACTCACAGCACAGTTGAGTCATATATTGAAAACTAGACACCATTTAAAATCTGACCCTTGGGCTCTTACTATTTTATATAAAAACCAAGAAAATCTACTGTGGACATTAGATACTTTGTTAATTGCAATTTTGGTTTCAAAACTTTTAAACTTAATATGAGAAAGATGGAAACACTTGTTTTGATCTCCAGGTCAAGTAATTTTTAAAAACCTATTTTTTCTCCCAAGCATTTGGCATATCCATACTGTAAAATACTCACAGATATTCTGACTTTAAAAGCCGCCCAAAGACAGAAACAGTACTTTGTTTTGCTGCTCCCTGCAAGAAAATCTTTGACATTTATCCTAACAGGGCTGTAACAGCCTTGCTGAAATCATGCTGACTGGAGAATGCAAACAGTGAAGCTGTACTGGCAGGAGATTCACATGAGCTGAACAGAAAAAAGATAACTTTTGAGCTGTATCCTGAAGTAAAATACCAATGTTACATACTTAAAAACTAAACTTGAGAAAAAAGTAAAATTACTGACATGGAGAACATATGAAATGGACAAATCAGGCCACTGGATTCCTACAGTGTGTAAAATATTAATGGGTAAGGTTTTTCAGAGAGTAAGCATCATGAGTTTGAAATTAAGTTCTGATATGTTGTTTTAATCCACAGTGAAAGTTATCTTATGCTTTTCAAAGCCACAAACATAAGTCATATATGTAAAAAAGAAGATAATGAAGAGGCATGATATTGGTTTGACCTACATCACTTTGAATCAGAAGTGCTACAAGTGATCTAAAAAACCAACCAAACAAATAACAAAAAAATCAGACAACAAGTAAAACAAAAAAACCCAACAACTAACAAAACAAAAGCAAAAAATCCCCACCCAAACAAAAATCCAAAATAAACCAAACAAAAAAATCAAAACAAACAAGGAAACACCACAAAAAAAACCCAAAACCACCAAACAAAACCACAAAAACAAAACCAAGAAGAAACAAAAACAACCTAAAGCCAGAAATATTTCCAGATGAGAGCTGGGAAAGGCTCTCACAATACTATCCAAAACAGTATCGAATATATGGCTGAGTTTAAAAAAAAAAAACATAAAACAACAAAATCCAGCCCAAATCTAGATACCACCTTGCTAGTGGAAAAAAAGTGCTGTAGTTTGAGAAAAAACCCAACAAAACTCATAGTGATAAAAGTTATATGTCTACTGGCAATTATTAAACAGGATCAAGAAAAATTTCAATGTGAAGGAATTCAATTTTTTGAATGCTTAAACATTAGGAAAGTTGCAAGCATTATTTTGACTCGGACCAACTAGCACCTTCACAAACAATTTACAGGCACATCTCAGAAGTTAGCTCCTACCATGATTATTCCCTGCAGGCAGATTGCATGCAATCATCCCTTTTTTGGAGATTAAACTAGTGTAACAGTTGGACAAGGGCTATTCTGTTCTAGTTGGTCTCAGTGTTGGAGAACATTCCCAGACATGTTTATTTTATGAATACCAACATAGCCAAATATTGCAAGTTATGGGTAGCTGAAGCTGAAATTATTACAAGAATGTGACCTGCAGAGATTTAAAAGCAATTGATAAACAACAGGAGCATATGAGCTGATAAGCAGTCCAAGTGATGGAAGAGACCCAAGGGAATCTACAAAATGTTTTCTCCTGCAAGAGCAACTTCTTGGCAAACCATATATTTAGCTACAACATTGATTTTGTCACTGCAGCTAAAAGGCAACAGATTAGGCTGTATTTGTGAAAATAGAAGGGGAAAATTAAGTCTCCTAATGACCAAAAAACAAACTTCATATTTATCACATGGAAGGAAGGCATTACAATCTCTTGAAAATGCTTAGAAAAATACTTTTTTGTTGCTGTTGTTGTTAAATTTTTGTATTATTCCTACTCTCCTTTTTACATATGAGAGCTTTTTTTCCACATGTGCTTAATTCCTGGGTAATTTCTATCCAGAGGGACTAGGAAATCTGTGTCTATGAGATTGCACAAACTGCCAAGCAATATATCTGCTTAGTAAAGTTTCAGGACAGCTTGCTCGCTTAGAGACATTGGTTCTGTTTAGAGGGGACTAGTGAAACATAAACAGCACAACATATTTACTTAGAACATCAAAGAGTTCCTGCTTATGATGATGGCAGTCTAACCTTGTCTTTCAGATTGCTGAAAGCTATTGGCAGAAAAGACAGGGTTCAGGAATGTAGGTAGGAATTAGTCTGAATCAGTCAGATTAAAGTGGAGACAGGACTGGTTCCATTTCCAGTGGCACATTTACTCTGTGTTGTCAGCAGGTGAGCCCAGAAACAGGATCTCACATCTTTGATGTTGATTAAAAAGTTTACTCTACAGATCTCAAAGTTCCAGACAGCAAATGATGGGATTCACTGAATCAGGTGTGAGTTATGTCTAGCACACATCTGGGCCAAGTCACACAAGGATCCTTCCACAGTCTTGCAGAGAGCAGGGAGCTAGGCAGGAACAGCAAGAACAGGTCAGGGACTGCCTCATTACCTCCTCAAGGAAACCCCTTTCCTATGATCAGGTGAACTGTACTTGAATTTCCACTGCTGGGACTCTGCCGGGAACCAAAACAACCAGACAATTAAAGCTGGGTGAGCTCAACCACAGTGGTGTTTTGGAGGGTCCCTGCAGTGCCAGCTGAGCCCAGGGCAACAAGTCAGACCCTAGACCATGCTTCATGCTGCCCAGAAACAGCATAAGGGTTAGGCACACCTTTTCTTAGCACAGCTCAGTTTAACTAGGACTAACCTACAGCCCCTAACCTGCAGCCAGAAAAGCAGACAAATGGACTGATAATCCTGATCAGTGAGAGCAGTGGAAGTTTCAAGCACCTCAAGCAGTTTCAGACATTTGGAAAACAAAAATATTCCTGGCTTTATGAAGGGTATGTGTTTTACATAAGAAATTTCTCATCTATAAGCACAAAGAGACCCTGTTTCTTCAGGCACTGGAGTTTGCAGTGTCTGTACACAACATGCTCAGGTAATACTGTAACTGTGGATCTGACCTCCCAAAGTGGTTGCTTCACCTGCATTAAGTCTAGAGACATTTGACACCAACCAGCATCTTACAGGAACAATTAGTACCATGGCATGTGCAGAAAGGTCAGAACAGGGCTGGAGAGATAATACTGAACTAGGCCTGCAGAGAGTACCACAGAGCACACACCGTGAGCTTTGACAGCAGGAAATGCACCCTGTGCCACAGAGCACACACCGTGAGCTTTGACAGCAGGAAATGCACCCTGTGCCACAGAGCACACACCGTGAGCTTTGACAGCAGGAAATGCACCCTGTGCCACAGAGCACACACCGTGAGCTTTGACAGCAGGAAATGTACCCTGTGCCACAGAGCACACACCGTGAGCTTTGACAGCAGGAAATGCACCCTGTGCCACAGAGCACACACCGTGAGCTTTGACAGCAGGAAATGTACCCTGTGCCACAGAGCACACACCGTGAGCTTTGACAGCAGGAAATGTACCCTGTGCCACAGAGCACACACCGTGAGCTTTGACAGCAGGAAATGCACCCTGTGCCACAGAGCACACACCGTGAGCTTTGACAGCAGGAAATGCACCCTGTGCCACAGAGCACACACCGTGAGCTTTGACAGCAGGAAACCAGGCAGGCTGGGACAGCTGTTTGCATTTTCCCTTCATATTCCTGTGACTATTTAAAACAATGTGAGATGTGCTAGTACCATCGATGTGCATTCTGCTATACACATGGCTGACACTGTTCATTATGTGGTTTTTGTGTCACAGCCAAAACTCAAAATACTTTTGTTTGTAAAAAGTCAACAAAACGTGGAACTGTGAAGCTTCATCATCTGAATCACACAGCACTTATTAAATCTGTTTGTGGGTTGTCACACAGGAAGACTGCACAATACTGCAAGGAAAAACAAGCTAGAGAGAGCAGATGCCTTAACAGCTACTAATTAGAATCTAATTACTCTTTCAATTACCTTTACTCAGCGCTCTAGGTCCCCAAGCCAGTCCTGACAGACATCAGCTGTCCATGTGGCATCCTCATCTGGCACAAACCATATTGAGTGCAAAATCAAACGAGGCACTGTAACCCCAGCGTTAGCAGCGAGCCTTTCAAACTCCCTGCAGCAGCAAGGCATGCTGAATATTTCATAGCACACATTTAGAGCTGGTATCTCCTTCCTGAGGCAGTGCAAATACCATATTTCTGCAGGATTGCAGAGCTGCAGAGCTGTAAGCCAGTGATTATATTCTATGTACAGAGACCAAATCATAGTCGTGCTGGAATAAACGTGGATTCCCCCCTCCTTTCATGTGAATGTTGCAAGGGACAATGTCACACTTGCCCTCCCTGCTGTTACAATTGATTTTGTCACAGGTTAATATCTAGTATTAATCCCTTCCTTAAAAACAGAGAAGGTTCCTTGCACACTGAAGGAATGAAACATAAATACAATCCTTATTCTCCAGAGTTTTTTTTTCTATATATTCTAAGGAATAGAAAATCACCAAATCCCTGTCATCTAGAGGTCTCTGTGTACCTGTTATTATTTTTCATAATTCATACAGCGCCTGGAGTCCTCCCACAGCTACAGAATCCCTCCACAGTGGGGCTGTAGATGTTTATGCTGTGAACAAGACCACACTGCCACAAGCACACAGCACAAGGGCACAAGAGAACAGAAATAATCTCTATTTATAGATGAGGAACAAAAGCTGAGAGACACTTCTCCCCAAACACAAGAGACTCAACCTCAGATTTCCTCTTTTCAGCACAGCATTTATTGTGGGTCTACCGTTCTTTCCCCAAAAGGATGAGCCAGCCTCCTTTCTTGTAGATAACCCCATCTTAATTTTGTGAGAATGTGAATTTTTGAAGCCCCCTGAGCAGTAAGACCTTTTTAGACATAAAGAATTAGTCAGCATTAAAAAGAGTATCTGAGTGTGCTTTATCATGAGAATTATCATGGGAGTGTGTCAGAGGCTAAATGTTATAATTTAAACATCTTCATGAAGGATATTTGCTTATTATATCAAAGCTGTATAAAAGCTGCAGAGAAGACCACCACACCTGAATAGGCCCTGACTGAGGCCCTGAACTCTGAAGATAACAAAAAGCCTCAGGTCTGGGCGGGGGGAAGAAGAAAGCATTCTCAGAGGTATGGAGCTCAGCACCTTCGGGTGAGACCAGAGCCGCAGGGCTATGAGCTGCCAGGCTGGAACAGACCCTGGTGGGAGGAGGAGAGGTTTTGGGTGTGTGGTGAAAAAGCCTCTGCTCAGAGGCAGTGAACACCCACCCTCTGCTCTGTGCAGAGCTCAGCTGTGGGTCTCCTTCACCCTGGGACAAGCTGCCTCCACATCAAGGAGGGACAGAGGGACATCATGGCCCATCCAAGGCTCCCCCAAAGGGGTCCCCAGACCCTGCACCAGAACCCTGTGATGGATCCACAGTGTTGCAAGGGACAACGTCACACTTGCCCTCTCCAGGGAAGGCAGGTGGGCATTCCCACCTGGCCAAAACATTCATTAACCCCTGGGATTCTATATTTTTTGGTGTGGGACTCAGCACCAAGAAGACCAGATGGAGGGCAGCTGTGAGTTGTCATTAGGACCCCCGGAAAGGTGCTATGTTTCCACCTAACCCCTGTCACTCTCCCCCTGTGCCCCCACCCTGCCATTCACAATCCTTCCTTCCTTCCTTCCTTCCTTCCTTCCTTCCTTCCTTCCGCCCCTTCCTTCCTTCCTTCCTTCCTTCCGCCCCTTCCTTCCGCCCCTTCCTTCCTTCCGCCCCTTCCTTCCTACCTACCTACCTACCTACCTCAAGATCAAGAATTATTTATTTTCCTGCACAAATGCCTCTTTGGGAAGAGGCAGCCAGGGAGACTACAAACTGTGCACTCTAACTCTTCATTCTGACCACACTAATCAATCTCTCCTGTTAAGTAGCAAACTCAGTTATCAATATAAGGAAGCTCCTAACAAGACATAGAGTTTTCTTTTTAATTCTAAAGAGAAATGATTAGTGATGTGCACACAAATAGGTCAAGCTAATATAAAGAATACAGATGAAATATAAAGCAGTTTTCTATCCCAAAGCCACCCCTTTAATAAACCCCCACTGTCAGACTTGAATCAGGTTGTTTTC